TGGATTTCTTAGAAAGATCACGACTAACCCTCTCTTCGTCGATTTGACAGCATCCACCCAATCGCTGACGTCATAAAATCCTTTGGTTTATATTCACTGTAGCCAACTTGATGCTATTCGCACGAAATTTAGTGGGTATTCAAAACGTGAAAATTTTTGAGTTTGGTGCTTGGTGCATTTTTGGTGCTTTTGTTTTTAGTTTAAAGACACCAAATTAGAAAATCTTAAAAAAATGGAAGCAAAATTTATAGCAATCGTAAGTGTGGTAAGCAATTTTACAAAAATTTAAACAAAATCATGGCACAGTGACAATCATAAGCGACAACAAAATATGTGGCAATCAATCATGCTAGAAAAAATTGACTGTCGTGCAAGAAACATTGATTTTTATTAATTTGAATAAAATAATAAATAAAATTATGTATGCATATAAAGTCCGTAAAATACACCAATAAAAATTTGGTGCGTTTTCAAATTCAAAACTTGGCAATACAGCCTTTTGTTCGATGCTTCCTCTTTTTCTTGTCGAGTTCGCCTTGCTTTCTCATTCTGGTATTTGTTGGTTGACGTCACGGCCAGTTGCTCTCAGCTCGATTAGCGCAATCGTGTATTCTATCATTCTTGTTAGAAAGACTTTTGAGTATAAAGTTTCGTTGTCCATTCAATTACCGTTGATTTTTGGCATTTTTTTATGTTGAAAGGGTTGCCGATTTTTCTATATAAAAAATCATCTTTGTATGAAAGTAACACCAAAAAAATGTCAGCAAAAAAAATTGGCAAAAATGAACGGTAAGTCCTAAGCGTCTTCACATCGAATTTTTGTTGTTCAAATATAAAAACTGTTACTTTTTAGATACTGTTTGTTTATCTTTTAAGTTTTCAATTCAAAAAAAAAAACAGATGTATTTAATTTTTCAAATTGGTTTAAACAAATAAAGCAAATGTAAGAAATTTAAAGACAGACATTTTATATGCAAAAGTTTTAAGAAAAGGTGAAAAAGCTAATATCGTGGAAAGGTAATTTTTTCATTTAAAAATGCGCAGCCTCCAAACTCATTTCCGAACCATGGTTTCTTTTATAATTTCTCTAAGTATTTACTGCAGAATCAGGTTGCGTTTTTTTTTTAAATCAAAATTGACCCAGCCTAATGTACATAAACTGTAAGTACAAATTTACATACTAACAGGCAATTCAATTATTTTCAATTTGCAGCAGGTATTGTCATTTAGATTTCATTTCAATTGCATTGCTATCGAGAATTCTATGCGAACTACTTAACTCCTAACGAAGATGGAATATAAAAAATCTGCTTCATGGTGGATTTCGTGGCAAACTTCGGCTAGTTTATTTCAGTACATTTGAATCAATTGAGATCCATTTTAATTCTTATACATATCTACAAACATGTATTCTAGTTAAAATCATTTGAACTAAGGCAAAAACCGAAACGTAAGGGAGGACAAAATAGCTACAAAGTGAAAAGAATGCATGAAGTCCTCAGTAATAAACCCTTAAAATAAAAATGGTTTAACTCGACTGGCTATAAAATTTTATTTATTTTTTATTTTTTTTACCGTTCCTTGTTTTAGCAATTTGCCACTTGTCTTTTATTGCAAAATTACCACATTTTGAACCATTAAAAGCTTGGAGCGCCAAAATCATAAACCCAAATTCCCGAAATGAAAGTGCTACCGAAAGTGACATAAACTTTAAAAATAGTCTCACTCTAGTTAGCGGACCACTAAATATGTACAACAATTTACATGCCATATTAAACCTGTTACATATTTGTAATTAGGCAGATAACTACATAGATTTCAACGTGCGACAAAAACAAAAAAAATCAAAACACACAAAAGAATCGATATAAACTGCGTTTTTAGTTTTTCACTCTGACGCCATTATTTTTTTTCGAGGGACTTTGAAATTTTAAAGATACATATATTAAATTCAAAAAATTATTTAAAAACATCATTGCATTGTAAAATAACAATATTGGTACCAAATAAGAGAGAAAATTCTGTAAAATTTAAATACAATAAAGGTTTTTGGCATATATGTAATACTCCTATATTGGCAGTAAAAGCTAGTACCGAAAACACTACAGTACAGATATATCAATAAACACGTACGAAAGAAAAGGAACACATACGTTTATAAATAAACATGTACACGACACATTTACAAAACCGGCACTCAAGTACACAATACATTGACAAAAACAGTACTAGACCGTCTCGCTTTGATTTTGGAATGCTTACACATTGATATGTTAGCTTACTATCAATATAGAAGTATAACATATATGGTTTTTGGTTTACAAGGACGAAAAGGTATTTAAAACCTACCTACAGCCTACAGCCATTTGGCGGCTTTAATAAATTTCAGTACGTCATATAGAGAGAGGCAGCTGCACTCTGAAATATTCTGCAGGAATGGTTTGCCGAGTGTATTTAGCCTCATCCTTGCGAGGGCTGGACACTCGCACAGCAAGTGGTCGACTGTCTCTTTTGAGCCCGGGTCATCGCAGCTGCGACAGAACCTAATGAAGGGCAGTCCTATCCTTTCGGCATGTACCCCAACGGGCCAGTACCCTGTGCACACTGCAGTAAGTTTGTAGGCATTTGTTTTGCTCATTCCTAAGAGAGCTTTGGTTTTGAGTGGGTCGTAGGACACCCAGAACTGCCGGGCAATTCTGGAGGATCCTGTGCAGTTCCACCTCTGCCTGGTCTTCGAATGATAAAATTCGGTAATTTTTGTCTTAATCTCCCTGAGCGAGGCGCCCATGTCCACCGCGTGGGACATATCCAGTGCGGAGCCGCTCCTTGCTAGTTCGTCCGCTGCCTCGTTTCCGTAGATGCCCCTATGTCCCGGGACCCATATTAGGGTAATTTAGTATTGATCAGAGATATAGGCCAGCTCTCTCCTAAATTCATCCACTAGCTGAGATCTAACAGAGTTAGAGGAAAGTGCCTGAATAGCCGCTTGGCTATCCGAGAGGATGTGCACTTGCGTTCTCGCGGGTACATTGTCTTCGTTGTACCTTACTGCCTCCTTAATAGCAAACATTTCGGCCTGGAAGACGCTTGCATAGTCTGGTAAGCGGAAGGATAATTTTAGGTTATATTGCTCAATGAAGACCCCAGCACCAACCCTGCTTTCCATCTTTGACCCATCCGTAAAGACAGTTAAGCCCTGCAAGTACCCGAAATCTTCCTGATTCCAGTCACTGCGGCTTGGGAATTTCGTGCGGGGTTTGTGGTAAACCCAGGTCTTCGACAGGATATAGTCAGTGGGCAGCGCTTTAATTTCAGACGGTATTGCGTCTGGGATGGAACCGTGCCCGAACGGTCTTTTCTTCCAGAGCCCCAGCGCACGCAGTCTGATGGCGCTGTTAGCAGCTCGATGGAGATATCTATAGGTAATAAGTCAAGAAGGACGTTCAAAACGTCCTTCGGACAGGATCTCATTGCGCCGTTACACTAGCGGCTGCTGACCTTTGAATTCCGCCTAGCTTTTTAACTACGTAATCCTTAGTAATGGCTGGCCACCAGACCAGCGCCCCATAAGAGATTATGGGTCGGACTATAGCTGTGTACATCCAGTGCACAATTCTTGGTTTCAAACCCCATCTGTTGCCCAACATTCTCTTGGCCACATAGAGAGCCACCGTGGCCTTCCTAGCACGCTCCTCAATGTTTGGTTTCCAGTTAAGTTTGGGATCCAAAATAACTCTAAGGTATTTCACCTTCATTGACAGATCCAGTTCCGTTCCTCAGAACCTTGGTTTATTAAAATTTGGTAATTTTGTTTTATTTGTGAAAAGCATAAGGTCAGTTTTCTCCGGGTTTACGCTAAGAGAACAGCTTATGGCCCACGAATCTACTATCTTTAAAGTCCTTTCCATAATTTCACTTATGACCGAAGGAAACTGACCCGATACCAGTATCGCTACATCATCGGCGTAAGCCACCGCTTTGATTCTCTGAGAGTCCAGCTTTTCCAGTAGTTTGTTTAAGACCATGAGCCATAGTAACGGTGATAGCACTCCTCCCTGTGGGGTGCCTCTCACTGCATATACGGCCCTGCTTTGGTACCCCAGTTCGGCATGTATTACTCTGCTCCTTAGCAGAGACACTATTCAAGCCCGGACACAGTGATCAATCCCTGTTTCCATAAGTGCTTCATGGATGGAATCTACACTGACATTATTAAAGGCCCCCTCGATGTCTATAAAGGACGCCATTGTAAATTGTTTATAGTAGAGCGAACTCTCAATTGTACGTACCACTTCATGTAGGGCAGTCTCCGTTGACTTCCCTTTCAAGTACGCATGTTGAGAGCATGATAAATTGGACGTCTTGTCCCTAACATACAGATCCAACAGCCTCTCAAACGTCTTGAGCACGAAGGACATTAGGCTTATTGGTCGGAAATCTTTAGCATTGTCATGACCCCGTTTTCCCGCTTTAGGAATAAAAATTACCTTAATCTTCCTCCAGCTTAACGGAACGTGGTTCAGTATTAGGCACCCTCTAAAAATTGTTTCTAGGACTGGAATGACCATCTCAGAAGCTTTCTGAAGCATGACTGGTAGTATTCCGTCCATACCCGGTGATTTATAGGGTGAGAAGCTGAAGATAGCAAATTTTATCTTTTCCCTCTCTATGTAGTAGATCCTCTAAGAGGTCTTCGGAGACGGTTGGTATATGGTCTGGGGCATCGGTTTCCACTACATCGATTTTGCACCCTGGAAAATGTGTATTCAAAAGGATATCCAGCGACTCCCCAGCCGACTCGCTCCATGAACCATCTGACCTTTTTATATATGTTGGCTGTGAGTGCCCTTTGGCAAGGATTTGGTTAATCTCGCAGATTGCTTGGTATCCTCGATGGATTCGTAGAATTCCCTCCAGGACGCCTCCTTGGCGTCCCGTATCGCTTTTTTCTATTTCTTTAGGTTTTCTCTGTATAGGTCCCATACCTTAATCCTGTAGCATTAGTTGAAGGATTTTCTTACTTGCTTCCGTAGCGCTGCAAGGTTCTCATTCCACCAAGGTGTGCGCGCTTTATTGCCATACCTCAGCGGACAAGCCTTCGTAAGGGCCTTTCCGACGGCCTTATTCAGGCTGTCGGCTTTGGCGTCCAGCTCGCCTCTTGAAGGAATGTCTTCAACTGGTAGTTTCTTCAATTCTTTTCCAATAACCTTTTGAAATAAGTCCCAATCTGTTTTACGAGGCTTTCTAAAGGGAGTAGGCGTATCCGCCGCAATATTTAGCTCAAAGAGTATTCGACGGTGGTCCGAGAGGGTCTCTTCGTCGGATACTCTCCATTTATTGACCTTTAGGCTCCCCTCGGTCAGCAGAGTTAGGTCTAGGACCTCTTCCCAACCGCAAAAATCAGAGGTAATAGGAAATATGAAGGTGGGAGTACTACCTCTATTACAAATCCTAAACGTAGAATCAATAATAAATTGAAATAGCGACTCACCTCTTTCGTTGGTTTCCGAGCTGCCCCATAATGTATGCCGTGAATTGGCATCGCAGCCGAGTAGCACTGGACTAGCTCCTGCTAGCCTTTGTAAAGTGACGACTTCCTGTGGCGGACACGGCCTGTCGTGCGCCATGTATACGGATGATATAAGACAGCTTTGTTTATTCATCAACTCCAAGTTGACGACTGTAGTATCCGGTGAGCTGAAATTGGAACATAAGAAAGCTTTAATAAGTTTTTTAACCAATACACACGCGCGGGGTTTACCTGATATACTGGTGTAGAAGAGGTTATAGCGCGCGTCAGTGAGTCCCTTAACCTCTAGGTCCCTTACCCAAGGTTCCTGTATCAACGAGATGTCGATGTCTTCCTCCCTTAGGAAGACCAGGAGCTTGTCCGAGGCAGCCTTAGAGTGCCTAAGATTTGCCTGGACCACCTTCATCGACTTTCTCGGCATTGTTAACTGGCCCTGTGCCTGCCAGCACCTGGTTGGCATCTTCAGCGACCTCTTCGTCCGCGGTAACCTTGAGGTTCATATCGCCCAACATCTGGTTGGCATCCTCGATATCAGCCTCTGGAATCGGCTCATTGGAGCGGAATATTTTTAGTTTCGCTGTTCTCACCCCGAAGAGCAGCTTGTTGTCCATTTTTTGCAATGGCCCAATACTTTCTTCGTTAAGTCTCAGAAGGTACGAAGAACTCTGCGCGCCCTCTAGAGGCTTTTCTGCACGAATGACTACCCAGTCACTCATGGGTATTTCTGGATTCTGCCGTTGCAGGAAGCGGATCAACTTGTCGCTATCCATAGCCATCTTCGGCAGCCAAATGCGGGCCCTGGGTTTCCTAGGTACCTCCTCGGCAGGGATTAGTTTGAACTTCAAACCCTCTCAGGCGTTGCCGAGCTCGGCTACGCACTTGCCGAGGAATTCCCTAGAGAACTCATCTCTACATTTGAAAATCCGGCAACCCCTCAGGGACTCACTGGTCGGCATACTATATACTGTTGGAAAAAATATAGTACGCAAAAATACTATATTTCTTCAATTACACTATGCGACAGTCAAAATCGGGATGGGATGAAACCAACGGGAAATGTTATATCGGTCAAAAACAAGTTATACGTGTCCCGGCGTTTCGCTGGGTCACGTCTAGGAATCGACATATATATATAACTATCATATAGGGGAAATTGTCACCTTTGGTGGTCTTTTTTTGACAAAACTCGAAAACCACTAGGCTGATTTTGCTCAAACAAATTTAATTATATTTGATTATATAGAAAAACGTTGTATGAACAGATTAAAGGAATTGTAATTTTTAATTTTTTTAAATTTGTTTGAGCAAAATCGGACTAATGGTTCTCGAGTTATGTCAAAAAAAGACCACCAAAGGTGACAATTTCCCCTATATGATAGTTATATATATATGTCGATTCGTAGACGTGACCCAGCGAAACGCCGGGACATGTATAACTTCTTTTTTACCGATATAACTTTCCCCGGTAGTTTGAACCCTTCCCGATCACTGACCCCTACCATTTGTCTCACAGTGTTATAAATATAAATATATTTCAGTAATTTTCACGATAAAATGTGTATACTGAAATAACCATATTAAATGAAATATTATTTAAAGTAAAAGGTCATTGTGAGTTTATAGTCAAAAAAGTTTATGTTGGAGCACAGTAGTGTTTATCTCTTTCTATTAAATTTAATTTGTTAATGAATTGTACTTCAATTGAATTTTTATCCACTCTAAATATGTATGTATGTACTTATGTATGTATATAAGTATTTATGCATGCTTATGCTTAAAGTTATTGAATTTGTATCAGTTGAATGTATTGTATTTAATTTCAGATGTACATCTTCGGTACATCCTTAAAGATAAATTGAATTACTATTTTAATGCAGCCCTGCGTGGCCTTCCAGTGCATGCATACATACGCACATACATACATATTATATGCATACTCAAACTTAGCTTGTAAGCCTAATTTATGTAATGCTTGAAACACAATACCCGGCGAATGGCAAATTTCGCCCAGCAGAGCGATGCCGACGACCAACTTTCGCCCAGCTAATTCGCTTATAGGGCATTCGCACGAGGCGATTTTACAGGCAACAAAAGTTGAATACGTAGTTGAATGAGAAGTTGAAAGTGAAAAAGTTGCCATCCCTATTCAGACGAGGCGATTTTGGATTCAACACGAATCGTTATTTACATTATTGAAAATGAATTTAAATCGCAAAATTTTATCAATTGGCGTAAATTTGGTAAGCCAAGCGTTGGTAGAAGTGCTTTTAGCGAAGCTGAAAGATAAAATAAGAGTAAAAAAGTAAAAAAGAAAAAAAAGTATGTATACAGAACAGTGTTGGCATTTTTGGTACAATTGTACTTGTTTGATACAATTTCATTTACAATATATTTTCCTACTACGCAGTACTTTTTAGTAAAATTTTGTAATGAATACTAAAAATATATAGCTCTGAAAATTCACAGTTCGCCTGTTCGTATTTACCTTTGTAAGTTTTGAAAAATGGCTTGAACGAACCAGTATAACATAGCCTAGCAAAATTTTTAAAGAAACTTTTCGATACTAAGTTTTATTAAAACAAAATGTCAAAGTCAGCTTCATATAGAAACAAAGTCTTCGTTAGTTATAAGAGATTTTCTTAAATATAATACCTTTACGGCACTCACATGTTGACAAGGTTTTACTATTTATTTTATTATTCTTTAATTTTAATTATCTGGTTAGAAACTATAATGTATTCTTTAAGAAAAACTGTATAAACCCAAGATTAAATCTTTGCGAAACATCCAAAAACCAACATACTGTAGTAAAAATTTCGAGCTTTATTAATATTCTTTAGTTTTTAGCCCATTCAATTTTAGTATAATAAAGTGCAAGTTTAAAGTAGCTGGGACTTACCGTTGAACTTGGCAATTTTGTTTTGTCGACGATGTCAGCCATTTTCTTCCATACGAAGTGTGTTCGACGATTTTTTTATATGGAGGAAATTAGCAACACCTTCATCAAAGAAATCTTAAAAAACTTAGTTATATTAAAATTTAATGGGCTAAAAAACCACACACTCAAAATAAATCTAGGAAATCGAATTAAATAGATCGAAATTTTTACGAAAGTGTGTTGGTTTTTTTAATGTTGCACAAAGTTTGAACCTTGGATTTGTACGGCTTTTCTTAAAATATAAAGCGTATTTTTACAAAAAATAATTAAAATTGAATAATATTAAGATAAATGGTCAAATCTTGTAGTAAAGTTTTGATAAGCACTTGAAATTCTATTAAAATGTCAAATTTTAGTACTGAATCCAAAGAAAATGTCTCTTTTATCCATTAATAATAACTTAAATATGCTTTTTGTTAAGATGTATACCTGAAAATGTGTGCATACATATTTGCGTTAAATGCAATACATGTGCACGTGGAATCAATTTGTAAAAGTGTAAAATACGTAAACGTATGTACATAAACAATAAAACTTTCTCATAAATACCATAAAATCATTGGTCTTGAAGGGAATGTACTAAGAAAATATATGAGCGAATTAAAAAGTGTATACAATTTATAGCCGAAAAGTAAATTTTTTGTATAGATTTCGTACTGAAGGAACAATTTCATATCCCAACACTGATACAGAATGTAAACAAACACAGGGTTGCAAGGAAAAAAAGTTGAACGAGCTCAAAGTTGGCTGGCGACCAACTTTGTTGAAAGCGATTAGTTGAAAGGCCGTTCGGACGAGGCGATTTTTGCTTTCAACTAAAGGTTTCCTGAAAAATCGCCTCGTGCGAATGCCCTATTACTGAAACACAAATAGAGCGGTATCGAGCGGTTCGAATGCTGTCAGCTGATAAGGTGACCATGTTTCAAGAAGGAAGCTTTTACAACGAAGAAGGAAAATACCAGCAAGAAGAAGTTTAAAATATAGAAATAGTCTTTAAATATAACTACTAGTAAACGTTTTACTAGATTAATCTCTGATAGAAAACTATAAGGTATATTATTTTACTTTTAAACAAAAATTAAGATAACTTTAAAAGTATGGTCATCATTTTTTTGTCGTTGCCGTTGACCGCGGCGATAGAAATAAATCTATCGTCGCGAACAGTCGTCGAGCAAACTTCGTCGTTTGTTTTGGTTGTGCGCGTTCTCATATAAATCAGTGTGTTTTAATTATCTCGGCGAACATTCGCGACGAAAAATTTGCCGTTCGCCGATGTTGTGCTTCAGCTTTAAAATTTGAATTCAATATACTTTGTGACACCCACGCAGCAACATCTTTTTAATTTCGCTCGCTTAGTTTTGGTTTCAGTTTTGCCGCCCTGCATTTTTATACCCGAGCGCACTTGTGCACAAGGGTATTATAACTTTATTCACATAACGGTTGTTTGTAACAGGCAAAACGAATCGAGATAGATATAGACAAATGTATACATAAATGATCAGGATGAAAAGAGAAATCGATTAAGCGGTGACTGTCTGTCCGTCCGTCCGTCCGTCTGTCCGTCCGTCTGTGCACACGATAACTCGAGTAAAAATTAAGATATCTTAACGAAACTTGGTACGTGTACTTCTTTCGGGCGTAGGATGGATGGTGTTGAAAATGGGAAAAATCGGACAATAACCACGCCTACCTCCCATATAACGGTAATTTGGAGAAATACGAAATCTTCGATAAATCCGTAAATATTGAAGCTAATTTATTCAAAATTGATGCTTGCAACAATTCTTTATCAGGAAATACGCTTGTCATAAAATTTTGGAAAATGGGCGTGGCACCGCCCACTTATGATCACATATATGTATCTCGGTAACCGTTCTACCAATTTGTACCAAACTCGGTATGGTTATTGTGCTTGCCACATAAAAGCAAAACGTTCAAAATTATTGAAATCGGACTAAAATTACGGCTTTTCATATAACGGTAAATTTTAGAAATGCTCGAAACGTCAATATTTCGAAATTTAATGACGCTAATTTATTCAAAATTGATACACCCCGGCTTTCCATGTAGCGGTAGCTTTAGGAAAGGTGAAAAGGCATATATGTAATACTTGCGCCGGGTATTTAATGTTCGGCCCCGCCCGAACTTAGACTTTCTTA